CGATGAAAGGTATTTATTTATGATGACTATATCTGACACGTAATAATCATGTAACATCTAATATATATACTTGTATGATACCATCAGCACATAAATATTCATTATGATTTCACTGAATATTAAGATTCATTAATGCAACGGATAATTGCTTGTTTAAATACTTTTGTAGTGTCTGAGAAATATATGTAACTAAATATCTTCTAATTTCTATATCCATACATATATATATACATTTTTTAATTTGTTTCAAACTTGACCGAAATAATCGTAACAATCGAGTAATGTTTCATTGCAATGAAATTTTGAAATATTTTACATAACAATACATCTATAAGAAGTTTCTATAAATGTTTGAATACTTTCATTTCATGAGCGTATATTATGTTTATTTTATATAAAATACTTTGAAACTTCATTATCAAACTGTAACGAAAAACAAGTGTCGCGATTAGAGATTTCTAGTCTTTTTCAAAAATTAAAATCTTAATCCTCGTACTCCACAAATCCTAGTTACTGAATTACCAAAATTCGGTTGTATTATGGTATTGGAAAACATAAAAATTTCAGAAGTTTTAATTTAATTTAATTTTATTGTTGTCTCTGTCACGAAGAATATAAAGTACAAGATAAAATCAAATATGCCAAATTTTGTCTAAACTATCAATTGGAAATTAAATTTTTATCTACCACCGTGAATAAAATATCCTTTTATATCCTTTTTTGTATTACTAACTTGCACATCACATTGTATCTCTCATAATCGTAACTCACGCTTTAAAAAAATTTTTTTAAAACCAACGAATACGGAAAGTTTCCACTGACAATGAAACATTTCGTCAATTCGAAGTTGATAATAACTAGTTTCGATAATTCCAGTTATCGAGATTATTTTTTCTTACAAAATAATTCTAACAACTACAATGACGGGAAATGGCCCAGAAAACCAGCAGTAGCAATTCATTCGCAAAAATAGACTTCATCGAAGAATTAAATCAAATTTATGAAAATACGAGAAAGTAGAGTGCCAATACCAGGGATACACGATGAAGCACCCAGTTCCGATTTTCGTTCCCGTGGACTGGATCCTGTTCCCCGGCATCTCGAGAATCACCAATGAACCACGGTCCCTCGACCATCACCATCTATTGTGAAAATTCTCGTCCGCCCTCCCCTCTGCAATCCCTTTCGATCCTTCCTCACGATCCTGCTTATTCCGCGCCTGGCGTTCGCGCTCTCTGGGAAACACTCTGGACAATGGGAAGGCGCAACGCCGCATTTTAAACTGCAGCAGGGATGTATCGTTTATCCTTTACCTCGTGCCGAATCGCAATATTTCCAATAGCTCGACAATTCCAGCCGCTCGAGCCGCTGGTGAAATCCACTTAAGAGTTTCGCGAGACTTTCCTCACGGTAAACACGATTTTGACGGTTATCCCTCGGCGAAGAGTCCGCGAACATCTTCGGGGCTGCAGCTCTTTGACGGCACACACCACTCGGCAAGTAATCACGGAAGATGGAAATCGGTTCGAAGCCGTCACCGGCAGACGCTCGCGATATTGGCAACCGCCAGTTGAAGATCCCCGGAACATCCCTGGAAAAAAAAGAAGTGGCGAGTAACGTTCTTGCCTTCTTTCGGGGGAGGGGAACCGAGATTTTGTTATCAAAGAAATATGTATGCGCGTAGCTACGTGCGTGACGTGTTACCTGGCGTGTGAATCATGGGAAAAGCCGACGTTGTCTCTTTCTTGGTGATCTGACTTGCGGCACTGACGTGGAAAGATTGTTAAGCGTGAATAAATGAGGAAATAATTTACTGAATGTTGATCTTTGTACAATCGAACCTTTTAGAGATTTTAACTCTCAAGTAGTACGGAGTGGTTATAATAATTTATATTATATTCTACAGATTTAAGATTTAAGTTCAAGTGATGTCGCCAGTGTTTGTAATTTGTATCGTATTATAAGTGTTTGATCTTGTATTACACTATAGAGATTTAAAATGTTTGACTTTGTACTACATTATTATATAGAGATTGAAGTAATATCATGGAGTTGAATGTGGATGACTATAGTAATTTGTATTATATAATAGGAAATTAAGGTGTTTGATTTTATTTTATATTTTATATTCTCTCTTGGTTCTTATTCATTATCTACTAGAAAAGATAAGTCAGTTTAGAAAATCCCAAAACTGAGCAGTATGAAACTTCAATTTTCAATGTCCATGCTGTTTCAAGAAGAGCTAAGATCTTTGAATTACAAAGGTTTCGTTTCATCAAATTTAAAAGAAATTTGCAGAAGAATTAATTTTCGAACTAAGAAGGAGAAATTCCCTCGCTGAAAAGAATACTATATCTCTTTCAAAATTGGAAAAATGAAATAATTATTCGCAGAACAGAGAAATCTGGAATATTCTGTAATATACGAACAATTGTATTATGAAACAAAAAGTACGAAATTTTGATAATTTAAAATTATTGAAAATAGAAAGCGTCTTTTGAGAGTATATACGGAAGTGTGCATTATTAATATAGAAAAAGTTTTATTTCGTCGAGACTGTAGCGGCCAAAAGTCGTTCAGATCTGGCAAAAAAAGAAATAAATCTATCAAATTTCCATGACAAAATTACAAATTGGTCATTTTGGTCACCCTGCTAATAAAACTGCAACTAGTATAATATAGAAAAACTCTCGAAATATTTAATTCAATTCCAAGTCCAACGCAATAAAACGTGACACGGCCTCTCGACCATTGAAGACAATTCCGAATGACTGTGAGAAAATTCACAATCGCGTGGGGTGAGAAGCTACAAAAGATTAGAAAAGAGGGTAAGGAGATAAAGCCTCGGATGGAACAGAATGAATGAAAGAAAGAAATAAAGGAAGCAAGGAAGGCGAATTGTTGAAAAGAAGTAGATAGAAGGGCAGAACGTGTCTGACGGAGGAAAGAAGAGAAAGATAAGAAGGAAAGTACGAAACGGTCTCGCGAGAAGAAGATTTCGCGGATTTACGGCTGGAAGAAAGATTCTACAGTGTTTAACGCCACCTTTGTGTCAGACATCGAGATTAAGGAGTCTCGTGACTGGCGACGCCCGACCATTCGTTGTCACAACGTAATGAAGTATCGCGTGGTACCTCGTTATCTGAAGAAAACGCGGGGGCTGAGAATCCCGGTCCAGGACGCAACAATCCCGGTCATTATCGTAAAGGACAATGAAATGCCCTTTAGGAAAGAGGTAATATCAGACCGGAGCTTTATCACACTGTGTGTTTAGAGGGAAGCTCGTCAGTGTGGTGTCGGATTTACGGCATCCTAAAGTGTGCATTATGACGTGTGATGGTCGTGTTGGATTTGTGGATAACGAGATGACTTGTTTGATACACATTTTACGAATGGAGAATTGATCGAAAGGATTAGACATAGAATTAAGACAACGTGTGTGAACATGATAGAAGCTCGAATGGAAAGAGAAATTAATCATTAGATATTCGATATTTGTTAATTCTGAAGATTTGTAAATCTTCGTTGTTCGACATTTGACTTCGTCAAAATGAGAATTTCAAGCTCGGCAATTACTTTACGCTAGCACAATAGTAATCTGCGGGTAATGCGAATACTTCATAGCCAAGCCCGTATGATTTTGATGTGATCGATCATTAGCATTAATTCTAATCAAATTTCCACGTGCATTCGTCGACCCTCATTCCTTATCAATACTCTGATTTAATCATTCGTTATTCAAACGAATTCTTACCATTGAATTGTTATCTACGATAAAACATGGACATTAATTTCTTTCCATTTGTCACTGAATAAACGTTGTTATCGAATGAAAGTAATCACTCGTTATCCAAACGAATTTTCACTACTGAATTCTCTTCTGTCGTGAAATTGTCAACAATCGTGGAAATTAATTTTCTCTCTGTTGCCGTGTGCGAACAAACATTACACAAATACGTCATAAAAGCGTCAAGAATGTCACGAATCTTGAAAATTAATTTCTCTTTACTACAGATCGATCGATTAAACAGATCGATCAAGTTACGAATTCTCAAACTGGAATTCTCGTCTTCCCATAGAACGTGCCAGAAGTGTCCAATTTACTTTCTATTACTCGGCAACGATGGAAATAATCAGAATGGAAAATTCAGCGACAAATTAATGACCGCCGCAGTCATCATCCGCTTGTTTCGATAAAAATATGTAAACCGAAAAGACGGCGAACAATTGAATTCCACCGGAATGGCAGGCGTTCCATGCGATCGAGGTGGGAAAAAATGAACGACTTGCTTCGTCGCAGCGTGGCGGCGCAATATTTCATCCGACAGCGGTTATCGGCATTCGAGGCACGATCGTAAGTGCTTGTCATTAGAGTAAGTAAATGCCGATATAATAATTTGTTTCGTGTCTCGAACGGTCTTGAACGTCCCTCGAGAAATCATCCGCTGTCTTGAAGGGGTGTTCTCTCTCCTCCTTTTTCCCTCTCGCATTTTTATCCGCCCGGAATCAGTTAGGTAGTTGGAACAGTTTGTCAGTAGTTTAGACACTTCATCCCCGGCACCGGGAATGCGAAGATTTATAAACAGTTCCCTTTCTCTTTTTTTCTTTCTTTTCTTAATCCTTCGAGCGATTATGTTGTACATTTACGTCGAGGTCAGACCGCCATGTTTTATGCGTTTTTGTATACTTCTATGAATGTATAATAATTCAAAAAAGAAGATGAAATGTAAATAGGAATTTCTTCTTCCGTCTAGAGATCATGTTCTGAATATTCTATTTTGAATGTTTCATGCATTTTTACGTGTCATACATATATTGCGTGTTTTTTCTTCTTTTTTTTTTGTATAAATGCAGGAATATCTGCAATCTAGGAATAAGACACGACTGTTTTGATAACATTTGAAACGAATTTAGAAATATATATAAAAATAACGAAACGGTAATAATGGATATTAGATATTTAGTAAGATAATCTTTAGGATGAATTATATGTTTAAAATTGCTATTCGTATTATATACTAATTTGAGTTTTTATTACTTACATTTGAAGGCATATTTGATTGTAACTGTCTAAATATTTTCGTGATCTCTGAAAAATTGATACTTATACTAATTTCTTAATTTCTTTAAAAGTCGACAAAATACAACTGTGACAGTGTTAGCGAAATTTCAAAATGTTTTATACAAGCTTCTACAAATGTTCGAATCGAAGTGTCTTGTGAGCAACTGTAAACTATAAAATATATATTCACGAAATATTCTAATTTTCCTGAACATCGCCAGCTGTGGAAAATTCATCTACAAATGAAATTTTTAGTGATGAAGGTTCAAGAACTCGGTATCAATCCTTCGTTTTTGAATAATTAAAAGAAGTTTCGATAATTCACATATATTACACACAGATATATAGTTAAAATTTCCACGCACTCGAGTCACTTGGACTGTGAAACACATAGAACTTTCGATCCATGTCGAAGACAGATGCTAATCGCGTCGAATTCGAAACGACGAATTGTGCCACTTCATTTAACTTCCAGCGGAATTGCTTCGTTCGCGTGAAGTCTGGTTATTTGTAATATCGATTCCAGTTCGTTTATCGTATCTCTCTCTTATTTACGGCTAATCGTCCTCTTCGTATTTTAATTAACGATTTAATTAGCGACGATGGAAAATAGCCAAGCATTTCTCAAATTTCTCCGTTAAGGAAACAAAGTTTACCGCGGCGAATTTCATTTCGATCGAAGGCTGGGACAAAGGTGGGAAAATTCTGGAAAAATTCCGCCACGACGACACCGATCGAAGAATGTGCCTCCGCTTTCGCGCGTCGTTATCACTTGAACGCTCCGGCAATGAATCTTTCTTAACTATGGACGAGTAAACAGTTCGCCACCAGCGAAACGTAGCTCAATGCTTACAAATTCGCCGGACGACAGGCCAGTTTTGCCTGCTACAACCGGCGGCAATTAAATTCCGCTTCTTGCTTGGGAATTAGTCGGCCTGTCTACGGATTTGTCCCCGTTAATTAACGAGTCTGCAACTCGTCCGGGGATTCTCGGCGGAGTTACACGAAAAATCTATTCGCTCCTCTGTTCGCCGCGATCGATCACTCGCGCCACACCGCCAAACACACTATCCTGTTTCACTCGATTATTTTCAGTTTTAATATCGCCGTTCTATATTCCGTTTCACTGGATTATTTTTCGGTTTATAATATCGGCGCTCAATCCCGTTTCGTTCGAATATTTTCAGTCAATATTTGTACGTTGTTTGTAATTTAATTTCAGGGAAATTTTAAATTTTTCGAATATGAAGCTCGTGAACCTCATGTGCAAAGCTAAATGAAAAGTTTAAATATTCATCGGGTATATTAAGGTCGCCAAGTTTATCATATTATTATAAATCTTTCGATTAGTAGAATATAAGTGAAGACATCATGCAACGATTCATTGGATAATGCAACCTGATTGAAATTAATTAAAAATGAAACAGAAACAGCACGTATCGTTGTAAACTCTGAAATGAAAAATTATAAATTAGTCGTTTCAAACGATCTTTCTAAACTCTCGATAGATTATTATATTTTCAAGTGCTGTTTGAATTTTATATCAATGTACTAAAATGTATTTTATATATACTAAAATATATTTAAATTCGAAAATAAAATATAGGTAAAATTTACTATTTTTTTTTTCTTTAAATAAATGCGTGAAAAGACGGGGAAACAATTCTGTTCGATTACTCATTGTTTCTAACGTTAAATATTTGTATCCTCTTCGAGAGATATTCACGAAAATAATCCACAGAAATATGATTTCAAAATCTCGTTTAAATTGTTCGAGTGAAAAAAAAAAACCAGAAAACATGCAACCAGAAAAATCTGCTTTCCACTTCGATCGGATCCACCAAATTCGTGAGAGTTCGTTGATTATCGTTGTCCAGACGGCTCGATCCACTGGCGAGGATCGACGAAACGTCGATTCGTGGGACAATCCCGGACGTTCAAGTTCCGAGTGGAAACTTGAAAGGGAACGAACTCAAACCTCGGAAGACCCGCAAGTCGAGATGATACCTTGATTACTTAGGCGGTGGTGGAAGTATTGATTTCATCGGGCAACGCGATTCACGGGTTTCCGTCCCATTAAACGGTCACTCTAATAATATCTAAGAAGATCCACGAAGAAACTATTTCGGCTGACCCGCCGCAGTTATTGAAACGATCCGGGTCACTTGCATTCGAGGACGTCTCTCCACGTATATAACTTCTTCTGAAGTATTCAGAAGTTACGAGACGAGATTATATATCTTGCCCCACGGTTATTGGTTTCGCATCATTCGCTGTTGGATTATTTTAATCGGTGGGAAATTAAGAATATACCTTCTTTGGAGATATTGGAAAGTTGGAAATATTGGATATGTATCCACTGTCGCAATGAATGATGTCGATTCTTGCGATTTCAAGATGGAAATTTAAGAATCTTATTACGAATGCATGTACCTGAATGTATTGAAATGTTCAGTGGAACAACGAGTTTTTCATATATGGAACAAGAAATAAAAAGAACCACGATGTTTTTCACATATATACACACAAGATGATTCACGTAACTTGTACACCTGAATTATTTTTTAAATTACACGTCTAATGGAAAATTGTTTAATACGAAAGTTGTATGGTTTTAAAGGAAACACGCCAAAGTGTATCAATTTTTTGTGATTTTCGAATATTTCTAAGTTACATCTTTTTCTAATTAGACCGTATATCTTTCTCGTTATAAATCGAAATTCCAAGTAAAAAGATATTGAATCACATTGGTTTTAAACCTAATGGTTAAGAAAGTATTTTACGATCATTTGTCTCGAGGATGAAAACTGTATAATATCAGAGGATTAGACAATGTCTATACACATCAGTGACTGTATTATCTTACATTTGGATTTAGAGTTTCTGCGAATTATGCCGAAATATCAAACATCACTCGCTTTGTATTGTGTACGTGACACGGTAAGGTAGAATGAGATAATCCTAATTCCAAGCATTGGTGGGGACTATTATACACTTAAGTGGGGACTATTATAATATTTAAACCCTTAGAATATCCAGAAATCTTATTATCGTTCAGTTTGTACTACGCATCGGCGGTGACGATCCACGTTCCATTCGAAATGGACTTCTGCGTCGACATCGAGCGAAGTTGAAATGAAACCGGGTGCCTTACGTACGTCGAATGTCGAAAGATTATACTACGAGAAATTCCGACTTTCAAAGACGAGTATAATTTGCTGAATAGTTTTTGTAACAAGTATTAAAGTTTTTTTTAGAAAAAGTATTGTACCAATCATGGTAAAATCAGTTTATAGAATTTACATTATTGGGCACCAAATAATCCCCGTTGGGTGAGTTAGACGCATAATTTGAAAGTTATTTCACAGGTGCGAATTACTATCGCGACTATTGATTTTAATTCTTTCGCTATTGAGGTATTTCAATCAAAGGAATATCCTTTTGAAACATTGAAAAGTTGCGGCAGATTTTTCGTATATACATTTATTGCCACAGTTATTGGCTTCTTCTCGTCTTGCCGAACCTTTTATCGTAGGAAAATTAAAAATCTTCCGAAACGTTGAAAAGTTTCTTATATATTCGCCGTCACAGTTATTGATCTTAGTTCTCTCGCTGTTGAGTTATTTTAATCGAAAATTAAGAATATCTTGCTTTCGAAATATTGAAAAGTTGCGGCAGATTTTTCGTACGATTATTGGCTTTCCCTCGTTGCCGGAATATTTTCGTCGGAGGAGAATTAAGAATCTTTCCGCGAATATCCTCCGCCTGAAACATTGAAAAGCGGCGTACGAAAATTTTTCGTATATATCACGACTATTGACTTTGCTATTCCTTCGCCGTCGAGATTAAGAATCTTTCGTTTGGAATATTTAAAACTTGCCCTGATTTCTTGACACATATCTGATTATCGACTTTGGTTCTTTCGTCGTTGAGCTATTTAAATCGAAAGGATATTAACAATGAAAGATTCCAGGTTAATTTGAGAGGACTGCAATTGAAATGTTAATTGAAAGCCACAGGTAAAATATTAATTAACGTTCTAACTAAGGATGACCAGTTCACTCGTCATTAGAAAATTAAAAAATCTTTAATTCATGATTTTCAGCTACGTGTGTTATATTTCTTAATGTAAGAAGATGTGTAGGTAGATGAAAATACCAGAGATACTAAAGAATTAAATGTCATTTTCCATTGGTCACAATTGGCACGTTCCCTGGTACAATTAAAAGAAGCGCGAATAATCTCGAGTTGATTGGTTCTGATTCTAATCGATGTTAACGCGCCAACTTGATCGGGTGTTTACAGGACTGGTGAAGCTACGAGAGCTCGTAAGGTCGCCGAAGTCTCGAGAGATCGAGGTTAACCTCAGGCAGGCCGACCCGGATTCCTACAGGCAGGTTCTATCCGAGATGAAAAGCAAGGAAATACGGAATCTGATCGTGGATACCAGGCCGGAGCATATGCATCATTTTCTACGAATGGTAAATACATATTCCTGTGTATCGATTTCCTGTGCCGGTGGCTTCGATAATCCCGACGCGTCTCCGATGTAAATATCTCGCAGCCATTCCAACCCTCCTCACCCTTCCTTTTCTTTTGATATTTAAATCGTTTAATGCAACGTCCTCGCTTCCTCGAGGACCACGGCCATCTTTGAAAAGTTAAACGCAAAAGTGTGTGCAGACCACGAATATTTTTGAAGAAATTGAAGAAGTATGAATAATCGACAGGATGTACGATTATAAAATAGGGAAATATATTTATAATAATTGCAAATGACAGTTTTCTATTTAGTTATGTTGATTCTCTTAACTTGTTATAATTTATTGACTGCATTGATGAAAATTGAAATTCATTGTTTGATTTACAACAGAGGACATATGTTATTATACAAAATGTTACGTTTTCTTAATCCTTTCGCTTACGTTCTCAACATTAAGCTTCGTAAAATATCTTTCGAGGTCACAAGGAATGATTAAATTCAATGATCTCATCCTTTGCATTTTGAAATTTCCTGTAAATGTATAAATATGTAAAAAAAAAATGTATAAAGACTGTATAAAATCGTGGTCATACGTAAATTAATAATTAATTGGTTAACTTTTAACTGAGAGCCAACGTCTAACTTGATTAATCTATTTACTGGATCCCATTGGGAACTATATAAATTTAAAGGTAAACTATTTAACCCTCGAAAGCAACTGATTCCTGCGCAACTCTCTACCAGAAGTTAGAACGTTAAATTTCATAATTACATACGAACTTATTAACTAAATTTCACAATTAACGAAGTCAACATATGATCATCTAAAGTTATAAAAACTGAACCTATCAAGCTAATCATCATTATTAGCCCAATATTTGACATTCAAATGTACGAAAAATTACCGAAAGCTCCAATTAAAATGGCATCGCCACTGAAGGATTAATTTTAAAACCGACATCAGATTTTAGTCAACTGTTGGAAAACCGCTCGACGATTCGATCGAGCAACTAGCGATATACTTCACCGACAACTACGGTAAATCGTTGCACGCGTTTGCTTTCAGATCCTGCAGCTGCAAATGAACGACTACAAGTACCACTATCTCTTCACAACTTTCGTAAGTACTCTCAGCGACAGAAGAGGGGTGGGGGAGGGGGACAGGGAAGCCAGAAGGATCCCGCAGGCAGATCTTCAGCGACGCGAGTCGATAACCGAACCGATCTGTCCGTTCCTGTTCCAGGATATCGAGACCTTCGACCTCGAGGACTTCAAGTACAATTTCGTCAATATCACTGCCTTCCGTCTGGTGGACGCGGAGGATGTCGGCGTGCGGGGCATCCTGAGGGACATGGAGCGATACCAACCGTCCGGGAATACGATCCTCAACAAATCGAGAGTTATACAGGTAGGAGAGCGTTCCACACGATTCGAAGAACCCCTCGAAGCTTTGCCACGTATGTGTCGCCTACCGAATATTTGCGTCTGTTCTGAGGATGTTTGCGCGATCTGTTATTGCACACGGCTCTTCGATATTCGCTTCGCGGCACATACGACGCCGGATTGATTTTTATCATACGTGTCTGTTTGCTCGGATAAATGGATGCGTCGAGTCGATGGTGACGATTGTATGCGGGAGGTGTTGCGGGGCTTCTAAAGGGGGGGATTCGAGATTCTTTCGAGAATTATAGATAAATGTGGATAAATGTGGAGCGGGAGGGAGAGAGAGGGATCTGCAGACCTCTGGTCGTCGAATTAGGACCGCTTAAAATTATTAACGTGTTGTATCCTCTTGAATTAGAAGTTTTGTCAACCTGTCACCGGTGCTTCGATTTGTTGAGATTTTATAAAAACTGTTAGAAATTTTTGAAATCTCCTTTTATTGGTTCCATATTTAGAAAATCGAATTTGGTAATATCAATTGATTAAACAGTCTTGATATTAACGTGTACGTATAATATTTATTGTGAGAACTATGTATGAGAGAGTTTGCACTTATAAAATGTACGTACGAGTAATTTTCCTAAAGAAAAAACGTGTAACATATTAAAAATTAAAAATGATCTTAAATCAATAAGACTTTGAACAGAATTAAAGTTGTCATGGTTACAATCAAAGAGGGGGAGAGGGGTAAATTTGATTTGGAATGGAAATAAAAAATAACGACCTAAGATAATTGATCATTTCCACTGAACATAAAAGATAACAATTTGAAATAACGAATCGATTCTACTGATTTATTACTGTTATTTTAAAAATAACATGGGACAATCAAATAAATCATACGAGCTGTTTTATAATTGAATCAGATTCTATTTGAGATGTCGAAACAACTGCAAAATGTAAAATAATCTTATTTATTTAACAGCCAAATAAATTTAAATATTAATTGAGTAAATATAATTGGAGTTCAATCCTTCGGAGCTACCATTAAAAGGCATCACATTAATACTATATAAAATAAAATGAAATAGCTTAGTAGTTCACGCTCCAGTAGTCCAATATTTTTTTCTGGAAATTTTAGGAATTACGTGAAACGCAACTTTACATGTTATTATCCAGAATGATAACATGTAAAGAGGTTATTATTATTATTATAATTATTATATAAAAATTCACATAAAATGACAATTTCAACAGTTCTAACGTTTCGAGATTCAAGCAGGGGCAAAGGTAACAATTTAAAACAACAAGTAAAAACAATAACAATTCCTTGAGTTTTCTATTTTTAACTTGGCGGTTTCTCTCACAATTTTCCATTGGCCTCGAACGTACCGATGATCAATCGGGCTCGATATTAATTTTATTTCGATAATCGAGGCATTCTACTGGATTATTCTCGCGGCGAAACAGGCAGGAAATTCATCCAGGCAGCAAGTATCACGAAACGTTATTATGAATAATTGAAAACCTTTCGATGGTAAAACGCTGAAAATTGCACGTTGTGTCCG